AGGTATAGGGGGTGACGAAAGATAGAATTACAAAAGCAAAAGGGTAGGGAGGGGGGAATCCATAATAAAATGACTGGTTTTCGTCACGAATTAGAAGAAAAATCATTTATCAATAACAAATTACTAAGTAACTATTTTATTTTATGTAAAGGAAAATGTAGAGATCCATTTTAATTTTGAGGATAGATATCAGTTAAAAATTAATCTAAAATTATAGAGTATGATAGGATTGATTATCAGTGCATATCCACGAAAATTCATCAGAGATGAAACCCAGGATAAATGATCCTCAAAGTGAGTGGCTCAGCTTTGATCAACTGAGTTGACAGATTGAATGGTTCATATTTACAATTTCATGAAGCTTTGACTGGAGTTCTAGTGTGAAGACGTGAACGGAGGAATTCAGTGATGTAATGTGTGAAACACCTATACACCACAGTTAATAGAAGATGGTTGCTCAATAATCTCATTAGATTGAAGTTGAGCGCTCACACCATTGGATATTGGATCAGTGGTCTAGAGATTAAGTGTTTGAACGAAAACCGAAGGTTGTGGTTATGACTCCTCACAGTACGGTCATTCACACGCATCAATGAGAAGTTCCATACTGGGACAAAATAACTGTCCAGTGCTTTCTCCTTTCCAATGGTCGTCTAGCTACGATCAGACTATATTGTAAACTGTGAAAATTTTACAATCCACACAACACCCTACACCAATATTATTCAAATCGTCCCGACAATAGTAATACTAATAGCAATAATAGTCAGTACGATGACTGATCCCATCTCACTGTCTCCATGATTAATGATGACTAATTACAAGAATTGTAACAAACCACAGTTCTAACCATATTGTATTTTAATAGTTGAGTTCATGAATAAATTGAAGCTAGACCAACATAGAAAACCTGGAAGCACTGCATAGTTGTTTCGTCCTATTGTGGGACTACTCAGCATATTGTATAGGTCAAAGAAACATGAGTGAACATTGTGATTGATTCGAGATTTGTTTATCCACTACTTGATTGTATCAATGGCAATTGTCATCACATTAACAATGTCTAAATAAGGATATTGAAACCACATTATACCATAACATTATAAGTGCGTGTGATTGATTGAGGTCATACACATGTGTATTTGTGTGAATATTATCAGTGAGGAAATGAACTGATCAAATCATTCATTCATTCACTCATTCATTCATTGGTTTACTCGATCACTGGAAGTCACATTTCGTTGTTTTGTCAACAATTCACTTCCACATGAAAAACAACTAGAATAAATCTGATCGTATGACGTAAAGATTTAGAGAGAGTGTGTGGGTGTGTAGGACTATGTGACTGTGTTAGACGAATGTGTTTTATTCGTGTGGGCGTGTTGATTGATGGCAAATAGAGTTGAACGAGGATTACCCAATGACAGCTTCATATTAATAATGAGAATCTCATCTAAATTATGGTTAATAGTGCTGATTTCAACCTTCCCTCAAATTCTAAATCAATGAAGATGGTATGGATTGTTTTATGTTCGGGCCAATCATCACAAAAAATTCTTTATTGAAAATTTTATTTAAACACTGCACTGTTTGATAAGTACATTATTGATAAATGGTTGATGTGTTGGAGATGGTGATGGATCCACTCGAGTTGGACGGGAATGATTTCATCCTATAATTCTTTGAAGTCATAACTCACGTGTAATGCCCTTCTTGGTATCTAGGTAATGCGGCTCCTTGGATAACAGTACGGAGCCAGTAGGATCCTACCAATGTGGTCTGATTTATTAGCTTAACGAATTTTAGCAGTACAGAGTATGTACACACTGCAGCATTTACTAATGCATGACGTGCAATCCATTAATCTACGATCGAAGTTGGACATTATCACTGTTGGATGTGGTCTACCGATAGTTTAAGTATTCGCGCATGATGCCGAATATAGTGGGTCCGAGCACTTTGTTGAAGGATCGTGGATGTGCACTTTTGATTAGTTCCATACTAGGATGCAACTACCGTCCACTGATTCAATGTTTTCAATGGTGGTCCGGCATTCATCAATTCATGATCACAATCAAAATATTCATTCAACAATTCAAAAACTAGGGATGGAATGTTGAAATGGTTGAGCTTGATGAAAGATTTGACCAGTGCTCAGTGACACATCACTAGTCGTACACTGTGTTAGTCCGGTAAAATACAGTAGACCATATATTTCATCCAATATTCCTCTTTTAAGCTGACGTTACTTATCACTTATAAATAACTTCAGAAAACGAGGATAAACTGATTAGCTAAATCAATGGTTAATATGGTGAGTGAGATACCACTGTAGACGAACGATTGTAAATAATTGATTATTCACATATCCAATATCACCATCTATGTGTTCATATCAATGTAAAAACATGCATATCATGTCGATATGCAATAAATATGAGTAATCTGCATTAAGCAGAATGTTTCACATCCAGAGACGTGTCCTTCCTCTGAATAACTGAACAACTGACCATTCAAATGTCACAAACGCAATAGTGACCGAATTAGACTTCAGAATAATCCAAGTATTCCTTCCTCTTACATTTGGATAGAACATTCACCACAAATTTTATGAATTGATATCTACTATTCAGGATCTTCTGTACACTTGATTCAAGAAATGTATAACACATAACAACATCTAATGAATAAGTGGGGCATTACTCCACATTATAGTTTTCACTAAAATCACATACAGTGTTACATCATTTTAATACATCATAAAGTGAAGTTCATATGCAATACCTAATATTCACTCTTGAACACAATCACATTTCAACAACAAACTCTCATTCATATAAGACCACCACCGCCAACAACTACAACGATGTCATGAACAGATGAGAAAGTTTCCACGATATATTTATTGTTTTTCATCATTTCTGTTAACTAATCACAATTAAATTGACAATGTATTGATTCAATGACAGAGTAATGGTTGCCACTTTTCATTGCAAAGTGAGAAACAGAAACGAAACACAATCCGGAAGACAATGGAAATTCGTTGACAGTTGATTGGATAAGTGAACTGGTTTTCATTTAATTTACAAATTATGATTCTCTGAATATCATTTCTGGAGAATAGAGTTGAATGAACATTGACAACAGAACAATTGAGTTGATCCGATCATCATCGTCATTATCATTAACATCAACGTGTACACACACAGACAATCAGAGAGAGAGAGAGTGGGAGAGAGTGAGGGAGGGAGGGAGCGAGGTAAGTAAACAGTCTGATCAGCATTGATGTATGTGTTAGTTAGTTAGTTAGACAGGAGAGATAAGTGTGAAAATGGCGTGAAAAATGTGGACAGTTCACACGTGTCAAATGCAACACATCGACACATTGAGTCAACTACAAGAAAATCAACAATATCATGTTATCTTCAACCTGTTTAAATATGAACACAAAGGAATAAGTGGAAACAAATGAACAAACAAACACTCAGACAAATAGAGAAACAAAAGAAATAATTAAACAACTAATTGGTTGATTAAATGGAAATGGAAATGAAGATTATGTCAATGTGTTCTTATTCTGATTATCCTACAGTTGAACAAGTGTGTATGTTACAACTGTCAACATTTGATACTTTCAAACACCGTAGTAACATCAAAGTAGACAGCATAATCAAGTGTGAAATGAAAGCAAATACAAACGATAACTATCACTAATTAAAACAATTTGTGAATGAGTTAATCAGTTAGTTGTATGAGAAGTGAGAACCCGCACAATACAGAATTGATCAATCGATCTCATTCTGTCATGCTTTAGGCTATCTACATTGAATTCAGTAAAGTCATTAATTAATTGTTTCTCTGTCTCACTCACTCACACATATGCACACTCTCCTTTGTCCAATTGGTGTAGACTATCACATTCGACGTGACGGTATTAATCTTTTCGGAAGTAATATTTTCATCATGTGACAGTACTATATTTGGCTCTACTTGGTAGTGACAAATTCGTACGCATAATGAATGAGATTGTTTATTTGGTGTGTATGTACGATAGGTTCGATAATGGATGTTTGAAATAGTATCGAATTGTTTTTGATCGATTAATGACAGTTGTCGATTTGGGGTTTTGTTCTATTCGTATATGTGGATTATCAAATACCTTGTTACTGTTACCAGTCAGTCAAGTAATTCAACAGTATGATGTTGAGTATTGCTGTTGTATGTCTGTAAAGGGGTGATATGGAAGTGTTGATATAGTTGTGAGTAGTCATGTGGAGATGGAATCAAATAGATTTCACTACATACGACTGATCGATCGTTGTGCAGTACTTCAATCAAAGACATACGTTCTGATTTGGTTGGGTTTGTATGTAGGAATGACTAAATCTCAGGATTCTAGATAGTATGCTTCTCATGCTTCCAATTGTGACCATGAACATATCATCACATTTTATTTTATGAATGGATGATCTTGCGTTGCAATCGTATACATACAATGATAGTGCTTACTTGTTGATAAATATCAACAGGAGAACTGCACTTTGATCTACAACTTGTTTGATTGGTACTTCAAACAGCTCCACACTAAATGACTAGTGAGTTTTATCGTTCCTGTTCGGTACTAGTGAATGAGTTTAATGATGGTATGAATGCGTATAATCAGTTTACTGTACTTCGTTCATCTTCCACTTTTTGCATTTGTTGTTCTCTAGTTGTTTACTTTTCCAGAATGTTTGTTTGTTATATATAGTCATAAACTGTTTATCGTATAATTGTAATATTCGTCTCATTTTCTAGTGTGCTTCTGTCTCTCGCTCCCTCTCTTAATGTGATTTTTCTTGTCATTATGTTGTGAGTTATTGAATTTTGTTTTTGTGATTATTTATTAATATTGTTTATATTATATCTATTTATTCCTATGGGATATTTTTACGGGAAAGAAAAACTGTTTTGGGGTAAAATATTAATGCATTTAAGTAAACAAATAACACATGTTTACAATGATCATTTCTGAATTTCTGTCAGTTTGTAATCTTGTAAGTGAAAGTTTGTTAGATGTCAGTTTCATGTGACATAGTTGAAAAATAGTTCTTTTCATCATCATCATCATCATCATCATCATCATCATCATCATCATCATCATCATCATCATCATCATCATCATCATCATCATCATCATCATCATCATCATCATCATCATCATCATCATCATCATCATCATCATCATCATCATCATCATCATCATCATCATCATCATCATCATCATCATCATCATCATCATCATCATCATCATCATCATCATCATCATCATCATCATCATCATCATCATCATCATCATCATCATCATCATCATCATCATCATCATCATCATCATCATCATCATCATCATCATCATCATCATCATCAGGTGTTCTTGGGAGTTAACATTCATCAGCATAATAGGTTAAATTGCTGGTTGACAACTTTTCTGAGTAAAAACCTCGTAATACGAGTTCAAAACTCTGAAGGAACATTAGTTTTTTTAATACTAGAGATATTGAAATTAAGGAAAAAAATTTAAATCTAGCGAATCATTTTAGTGATATTGAGTTCTCTAAGATAGATAATTTCATTGTCGTTCTCAACAAAATCACTAGCGCTTACTCCAAATAGAAATAAACACTGGTTGTTCCACAAGTATTATGTTGGTTTGTTCTGCTGACTTTAGTTCTATATGTTTTTAGGTTTGATCATCTCTGTTTTTTTGTTTTTTTCCCGTTGAATGTTTTGTCTGATTTTCTTCTGAACACCTAGTTAGTTGAATTATTTCTTATAAACTGATAAAATGGGCCGTCAACGACGTCTTTGTTACTCATCGACCGACCTGAATAAAATGTTTCTTGGAAATCCTTGTGGTTCTTGGATTATTTTGGACCCATGATATGAATATTTTCTCAATCAAATTTGTGTCCACAGTTGTTTAGATGGATTGATATCAGTGATAGTAATATCATACCTTTCCACTACTAGCATTCGTTCACCTGCATTCTAGTGACGGTGGCATCTACTCAGTCCAATGAAGTGCTTTTCACAGTTAATAAAGTTGATTTGATAGTGTATTGTATGTCTTCCTTAGCTGTTGCCGTGAGACTATAATTTATGGACGGCATTTGAGCCACGCCTTAGTGACCTTGAGAATATCTGCCCACTAACTAGAGCTAAACAATGGTTATAGACCAGTGTAAGGAATTAGAACTATGATTTACTATTAACGGTTAGGATTAGAAATCAGATTTAGGGTTTTTTTCACGAACTGACATCAGCTAAAATACCAAGACGCTATTTAAGCTAAATGGATGGATGAACTTCACGCCGAAATTCAAGACGTGTTGTCCCCAATCTGACTGGTTCGTCCATAAATTATAGTCTGGCCACTGTCACTTCACTTTGTTTGGATTGAATGATAAATATTAGCCAGAGAGAAGCTTATATCCACGGCTTTTAACCGAGTATCATCAACATCTTAACACTATGGATTACTTGTTTTGCAGCATTTAAAATAATTTAATTTTTCTCATGATGGGAACTGATCATTTATTATTTATAAACCATATGGAGATCGCATAGGTATAATTAATTACTTTATTCTTCACTGATAATTCAACAACACAAGAATGGTTCCTTTGCATAATCAAAATCGAAACGGTAAATCTTCTTCAAATAGACATTAGTTTCTTACAAGACGATAGAATTCGTATGTAACATGAACTATATACTATGAAACTGAATGGTGAGGTGGGATTAATTGGAGTTGTGAGTTATGACTGGAGCAATGATTTTATGGTAAAAAATATTTAAGGTCTAATCACTTGGTTATTGGATCAAAACTCGCATCTCAAATTCAGATTTGTCATCCAGACAATATCACTTTGACGTTGAGTGGTTTAAAGCATTTAACAGGAAACCCTGGATCTAGTTTTCATTTTAGTTGGTGCTAGTTAACAAGATATACTTGTGATATTGTAGAGAGCGATATTACCTGTGGTTTTTTGAACCCACGTTACTCAGCTTAACAACCTGAGACGCTACCATTGGGCCATTCGGGTCGCGTTCGGCTTTATGTAAGGATAATATATTTACTCAGATTAATTACTGAGTAGTGACTAATTTCATAATTTCAAAGTCCTCCAGGACACCACTCACTGGTTAAATAGCCTAGTGGCAATGTCTCTGGCTACTAGGCAATGTGACATAGGTTCAAATCCTACAGGCAAGATCACTCCCCGTAATATTACAAGTATGTCTTATTAATGAGTGTCGACTACAATAAAACCTAGGTTTAAAGTTTCCTATCGAATGTCATCAACTGATTAACATTTCTAAACGCTGCACATAATATGGAGATAATCAGGTTAGTTGCCATGTTAAAACTTGTTCGACGGAATCAGTTCACTATTAAGAATTAGACAAACAAGACAATTGCCACTAACCAGTGATCGATTAATGTAAATAGTATAATCAGTTATTACATCACTAGATTTTATCACGAACTGTTATTAAATTTAATAAATCATCCTTTTGATGTAGGTTTGTTCTTTGAACTGGATGGTTTGGTCATGGAGCTTTCATCGTCCTTTTGAACGACATCATCAGCACATTTCACTTCTACCCGAAGTTTGTGCTGATGATGTCGTTCAAAAGGACGATGAAAGCTCCATGACCAAACCATCCAGTTCAAAGAACAAACCTACATCAAAATCACCCACCTGAGCTATAAATCTTCTCCACCATCTCAAATCATTCTTTTGTTACACTTCTCAACAAAGGAAACTTACAACTCAATACAGTATTAAAGATATAACGTAATGCAATCTTGAGCTGTCCAGATAATCATTTCACAATTTAGTTAGAATTCAATGACCTACATCTTAAAATCTATTAACTCTACACCACTCATATAGAGTTCAATAATTAATATTCGTAACTTAGATCACTTCATGATATTAAGCTTCCATTACCCGATGCCTGTCATATGGAGAATATGCGAGTTAATCGAATTGAAGGTCGGTAACTTTTATTACATACCCTCATTCAGAAGGAAAGTATTATATGCTTCTGAATAATGGTTAATAATAGAATCGCAAACATGCGTTTCGTCCTATTGAGGACTCATCAGTTGGATGTACCTGTACGTCACAGTTTCTACTTTATTACCGAGACTTGAAACATGATCCTATCATCTTTTAATTGCTCACATCTGGTCCTCCTCTATCGTCCCTAGACCTTGAAACAAGATGAGAATAATCGTTTTATATGTCCAAATCCAGTTATTTTTCTTCTCAGCATTATGCCAGTATTCCTTAATGATGCCGCTTTCAATTCCAATATAATTACAGAAGTAATATGAATAGTCGTTTTACTACGGGTAGTAGTAGCTTAGTGTGGTCTACTTATATCCATATATAATTAGTATATGGCGATGGTCAGACATAAAATGTATTTTGGCAGAAGACCGATAAGGAAAGAACTGAAATGAAACGTAATTGGTAGGAAAATGCATGAACAATTGAATTAGAGAAGACGAAGTGATATTTACAGAAGAAACAGTGAAGATTTACAAATTAACTGTTCATTGTATGGTTATCAGAATTTAGTGAGATAGTCTGTTTTGTTTGCTAAAATACATTCGATTGTCCCCACTCGTGTTTCAATCACCACAGTAGTAGTAGTAGTAGTAGTAGTAGTAGTAGTAGTAATAGTAGTAGTAATAGTAGTAGTAGTAGTAGTAGTAGTAGTAGTAGTAGTAGTAGTAGTAGTAGTAGTAGTAGTAGTAGTAGTAGTAGTAGTAAGAGGAGGAGGAGGAGTAATAGTAGTATTCAAAATCACTAATACAAGTTTTAACATGTAAATAAATGAGACTTATTCAATGATCATTAATTAAATAAACAAACAATTATTTATTTATCTTTACTTTTATTGACTTTTTCTATCATTTAGTGACAGAAAATGAAAAAAATTTTTATGATAGAACAACAAAGATACACATATCACGATTACACACCACATATCATTTACTATAGAATCGAGCTTATTAGCGTATCCTATCCTATCCATGTATCATTCAAAAAGATTTTTGCTTAGAATAAACACAAGTGGAACACATGGACAATTATTCAGTTTAAATGATGAGAAGGGTAGGAAAAAACTACTTATTCATTCATTCATCCATACCATAATCATCATCTTAGGGATAAACAGAAAGAAAGAAGGAAAAAGCAAATAATAAAGGAAGAAAGAGATATTATTGTTTTTTTTTGTGTGTTTCACCTCCCCCCCTTATGAATAGCTTCGAATACTAACCCTTCGTCTATAAGAAGACTTTGTTTATTTTACAGATAAATGTTTCGAACTAATAAAAAAAGAAATACAAATATTCAACCTTTCTAGAAGATATATAAACTAGGAGGGAGTGAGGTACTTTATATAGTTGACAGTAATCAGAGAGGTGTATATACAAGGATATACTTCAGTTGATGTTTTTTTCTTTGTATACAGTAAAGAATTTAAACGTAGTGATTTAAAAGTTTATCAAATTTGTTGACCATGATTTTCATCAATCTTTCTTTATCTTACACTCACTCATATGATAGCCCTTTTTTATCCTCTTCTCTTTTTCCCTTCGTTGTTCATTCGTTTACTATCTCCAATGTAAAGTGAATATTGTTCAGAACGCTTAATAGAAGAGAGTATTGGATCATGAAATATTAGTGTATATAATAATATACACATCTGTTGAATAGTTCATTTTAAGTAGTATGTATAATATAGATGCGTATATATAAAGGGAGAGGAGAATATCATAAAAAGAATAAATATAAAATAATTATTAAGATAAGGTAGATAATACTAATAAAATTAGAAAAAAAAGGTATTAAAATCTCCAATGAATCCATAATCCAGTTCACACATGTTCATTAAATGAATCCTGATAATAATAATAATACTTCAACTCCCAGGGTAGAGTTTAAATGGTTTGAATAATTTTTTCTGGTTAGTGTTTTTCTCTAGCGAGTTGGTTTTCTACGAGATGGGGTCGCTAACCCCATGACCAACTCTCCTCCTTTATCAAGGTTTGGGACCGGCAGTAGCTCCCGGAGGAGCTAGTAGTAATAATAATTGTAGTAATTTGAATAGTTGAGATCATAAGTCAATTGAAGCTATATATTACACTGTTTAAATATTTCATTTTTTTCTATGAATGAATTATAATTCACTTTTTCAATCATATCAGTCATGTATTACATTAGAAATTCTTAAGAAAGCAAATCATTCCAATGTCAAAACTTTCTTTCAACTATGTCGTGTACGAGGTATACTAGTGACATTGGAAGTTGTTTGTCCAACATTTAGGATTGATTGGGGTTAGAAATGTAGGCCATTGAACATAAGATCAATATTCAAAAAGACTAGAAAGTCCTGGACTCGGTTTCCAACAGTGTTGAGAATGTGCAGTTTTGACGGATCTTATCCCGAAACGAATTAGATAGTCGTTAATCCATTTTTAAATAAGGTCAGTCCGTAGTGTAAACTTAAAAAAAAATCAGTAGTTTCTACGATCCTCTTATACTGAATATGTTTCAGTAAGTTTTTTTGACCAGATTCAGTTGTATAACCTGTGAAAATAATATGGAATCGCTACATCCTAATGCTGAACCTTTCAACTGTAATGCAGTTAAGGCTCAAGATAGAATCAAACCTAAGTCCTTTATATCTCTTGATAAACGCGATAATATCTATAAACTGAATTAGAATCAAATACATTTTTCAAATTCACTAAATTAACAATATAGTGTAAACTCCAGTCTTTAATAAATATGGAACTAGTTAGAGGATACACGATATGTTGGAGGAATAAACGTGTAGAAAATTGTGTGTTTAAAGAAAGAGAATCTGAAAGAATATAGAACAATGGGAAAAGATTAGCAGAAGATTGAGTATACGTTAAATATAAGACACATTAACAATTTGTTCCTTAAATTAGCGACAGATCGATTTCATATGAGTAACCACTACGAACTGGGTAGCTCTGGATAAATGTTTTGCTCTTGTATACAACTCCTCAGAGGTGGCCACCGACAACCACACTAATAACCAGATCCAGGACTTTCAGCTTTCTCAAAACTTTTAAATCAATGACACCGTCAAGCCAGCACCAAATGATAAAATTCCAACTCCAATTAATCTATGTTATACTGAGATTATCGCACAATCATATTATTGGCAACTATTTTACTTCTAACAGGTCTGAACTGTATTAAACCCTTATAATGTTGCCTCTCCATTCGTCTAGTGCTACTTTAGCTTCAGTTTCACCTTGGCCACAAGCATGTTGTGATCGGAATTTATGTCGACTCTCCTCTTTGTTCTATTGTCCTCCATGGATCTTCTTAATTTTTTATTGCAGCAAATATGATTGAAGTGGTTCTCTGTGGTGTGATCCAGTGAGACTCATGTAGCTTTGTGCGTGAGCTTGTGGTGTAACATGGGGCCACCTATAACCATTTACTATACTGATTGAAGCTACTTAATATTAACTATAGTTAGTACATTGTCTTATCTGAATAAGTATATATACATATATAACACGAATTTCGAGCAATCAGAATAAATACTCTCTGAATATATATGTAAAATAATAATCTGCAAATGGTATTGTGAGCCAGTGTCCGCCTAGTGCTTGTGTGTGTAAGTCTTCCACATTGTTGAGACATTCCATGTACCTATATTAATTGATGCTCTGGTTGTTAGGAATTAAGTCGGTCTCGTAAATTTCGACGAATCTCGGCTTTCAATATGAGGCATCATAACTATTCTAAATGAATATTGTTCAACTTTTGGGATGGTGTCTAAATGGTCTGAATGATTTATTTCTTGGTTAGCATGTTTTTTGTAAAGTCGTTTTTTACGTCATGAGTTCGAGAAACCCATACACAACCCTTCTCCCATATCCGGACTTTTTACTTTGGAGCTTTAAAAACAACTTGAAACAGACACTAAGATTAGTAACAACTGAGCTATTTGATTATTTGAGTCGGAGAATAACATGAATATGTTGCTTTCTCCACCATCTACTTTTTCGATTGCATGATTATTGGCAATTTCATTTACTTTTTAAATTCCATAAGCATTTTTTGACCAGTTATAAATATCTTCTAGCATTAAATTAGCAGTGAAGAAAAGAAATCAGTTGTATGATACTAAAAAGAGTAATCGAAAAATTTGTTGAAGAATGGAAATAACGATGCTAAATATCTTATTAAAGTTATCATCGGTTGTTGTGAAGATTACTGAGATTTAAGATTAACATCATGAATTGACTCTGATTGAATAAGCACTCGAAACTAGGAAGTATTCAATATCTGCTTAGTCTGAGTATGAGAATATTCAGTAGTGAGCATTAATGATCTCATCGAGGACTAAAACCAGGTTACTCAAGTCCCACAGTGAATATTTAACTTTCAGATCACTGAGTTCTAATAAATTAGTTTATCAGTCGAAATTTAATCAATTTAATAATCGAATGGTTAATCGTTTGTCATGATACCTGAAAGTTCTGTAGGGTAGTATATATGCACTCATCACTTAATAAATCGAAAGATGAAATAAAGACTGTACATATATTATTGGAATTGATCTACACAATTATTTTTTTAAACAAAATTACTGAATATGCACTCATATGTTATGTACAATATGAAGAAATTATAAATTAGCATATAGTTTACATTCATTTTTTATACAAGAAGAAGACATAGATCCAAACAGAAGGGAGTTTTGTGAAGATTTTAGTAGTTTTATATATAGTTGAAATCATGAGTCAATTGAAGCTAGACTACCGTGGAAAACCTGGAAGCACTGGACGGCCAGGTTTTCCATGATGGTCTGACTTCAATGGACTCGTGATCTCAACTATATATAAATATTTGAAAGGATTGCGTTACATACAAAATATAATAAAATTAATGTTCAGATTTAAAACGATTAGTAAATAATAATAATAATAATAATAATAATAATAATAATAATAATAATAATAATAATAATAAAGGGTGATCTGGTCGAAAGTCAATATTGAATATTATACATTTGATAAATCAATTTTGTAGTCACCTAAAAATAAAAAAATAAAAAAGTGAGTTTTGGCAATGACAATGATGATGATAATGATAAATAATAATTGGTCAATATAAAATTTCATCTTTCTATTCAGGAAAAAAGTTTATTGATTTCATTTTATTTTAATGATTAAGGTTAGAAATTAGATTTAGGATTTTCATTATCAACTGACATCAGTTATAATGCCAAAACTTTAGCCAAATGTACCAAAATCCGAGATCTATTATCTTATATGTGATTAGTTCGATCATAAGTTAGAGTCTCGTTATTTGTTCAAATGTGAGTATTTACAACCCCAACACAGAGAATTAGAGTGAACCCTTATCATCTAAGCCACTGAGCTACCATTCAATGGTGTAAATGTCTAGCTTCAATTAAGTTGTGATATTACTAGACCATCTTACAATGTTTTCTGTGGATAACTGTCTCACTCCCGAACACATTTACAAAGTCATAACCATTAAAGTCCCATGCTTGGGCACAAAAGCTATTCAGTGCTTTCTTGTTTCAACAGTTGACTAGCTAAGATCAACTTGCAATATAAATCATGAAAATTCAGATGGTAAACCATTGAAAATTAAGGAGGACTGAATAGTTATTTCATCTTAGTATGAGACTTTACGGTAGTGCTCACCTATAGGATCTAACTAGGGTTCGAACGTAAGACCTTCGGGTCTCACTGTGAACCAATAACTAATAGAACTACCGAATCGGTGTTCATTCGTACGATTACAGCTTCACTCGGTTGTTGATATAGCAGGATCACCATCAAATGCCACCAGCGATAACTGCCTCATTCATATTTTATTCAAACTTCACTAGATACAATTTCTCAGTAGAATTTCAAGAATATTATTAAGTAGGTCACCAGTAAGCTAATGGTTAGAGTTTACTTGAGGGATTTTTGTAGATAAATCGTGACTGAAGAAGTTCAGACATGTTGAGAGTGAAACAGTTATCACTAGTGGTATTAAACAACCGTTCCAGTATATCGTAAATCGGTTAGAGTTAGAGTTGTATTATTGAGTGTTGACTGAATGATTTTAATGGCTTAGAGTTCACTAGAAGATCTGAAGGTCTTGGAATTAATCCCTGGTGTAATTATGAGCGGAAACTTTTGTGATGTCACATACTAAAGTATAATATCTTCTTAGTGTTTACTTGTTCTAAAACATCTCGTAAATGAGATCGATCTGTGTAGAATATTGTCTACAAATAATAATGATAATAATAATTATTACCATAACTGTTTCCTTATTAGTGACTTATTTGGAAATATGGTATTACACAGATGTCTACCTTTCTGAGATAACTAATAGTGTTCCATTTAACTGTGACTAATCATTCTCGATATCACCAATTTATCAACTATAAACCAAAGTACATTATAAATCTGTTTTATTTTGCAACTAAGTGATGTCCAATTAATATCCCAAGTTGGACTCAATCCAATAAACCTTTGTATATTACAACAATCTACCGTAGATTAAACATAAAGACTTAAGCTTTAACACTGGAAAGCATCTAATTAAAATAAAATAGTTAAATGCCAAGTATTTCCTGACATTCAACATTTCTGTGACGAAATACACTCTTCTAATGTGGAAATGTATGTTTTAAGAAAGTTTCTTCTTTTTTTACTAAAAACATTTATTCTCCATACTGTGTATGTCCTGTCATATGTGTGTTGTAATGCATTTTGTTGATCAGGAAATCAAATAAAAATAGGGAGTATACTTCTCTTTAAATACCTTAGTGATTATTAACTACTTTTATCTTTTATTTTCATTGTTTGTTTATGTTTCACAACTTCTAATTAACATACCATATTGTTGATAAATTATTCAATTCTAGTTTATCCTTAACAAACTAATTTGATTCAGCTTAAAATTCATAACCTTGACCTTGAAAATAACCTTAAAAATGATTAACAAATAGGAAATTAATGAATTTAAACATTTATTAGGTGTAATTTGTGTCATTCAGTTTAGCCTATTTCGATTTAAGCAAACGAGATTGAATTAAATATACAAAAATGTAGTTTCATAGTTGAAAGCATGAGTCAATTGAAGCTAGACCACCATGGAAAACCTGGAAACACTGGTCTAGCTTCAATTGACTCATGCTTTCAACTATGAAACATACTAAATCTCCACAAAACCCCTTCTGATAAAAAATGTGGTTGGTTACCAATTTATATTAAACTGTTCTTTTTAAGGGACTAATATCAGTTTATGAACTACTGAGTACAACAGAGTAGTAGACTAACTTGAGACTATTCAACACTAAATCTCGAGTTGATGAGTAAAAAGAATCATAGTTGATGCAAAACCTGATATTTATAGACATAATCTACTGTAGGGTTATAGGTGAGCATCTCTGATGAGTTCCAAAGTCGGACGAAATGAATTTCTGATAATTATTGATATTGAATCTAATTTAGTCGCCATTAAAGTAATTTAATAATCAGAATATCTTTTACCTGATCGTTTGCTAGTTAATATCACATTAGAAACTATTTTTCAAGTTATAAGGGAATTAAAGAAGTTAATCGTTTACATCGCGAACTAATTTTAGTGATATAACAACCAAAGACCAAAAGGTACTGGTTTAGCTCCTAGTATGGAACTATTCAGTTGTGCTCCTTTACAGCCCAATGGGAGATTGAACTCAGGACATTTAGGCCTTACAGAGAGCGCTTAGGTTTTAGACCATAGAGTCGAGATCCAGTCGTTCAATGATCTTTCAACCCATGGATGGTTAAGTGCTTCAAAAACGACATAGATGGGTTTCACTATTAAATTCTATAATAACTCCATACTGCTTATACCAAAAAGTGAAAATATTGGGTGATTTTTAAAAGGACTCTGGCAATCATTAGAGGAGGACATGAACTGTGAATGATTTGTGGATGGTCAAACTTAAATGAAACTGAAAATGGAAGCAACTGTGAGAGGATTAATAGCTGAAAAAAATAAATGATTTCAGTGATATTGGATTCTTCAAGCAGAATGGTTTAATTATAAATATTTTTGGACGATGTCATCACGATGAAAGCAACAAAGTGAGTTATCAAGTATATACTTAATGAAAACGAACTGTTAGTCGCTCATGAATTTTATGAAACGGCATGGAAACTATTTTGTTTAAAGGAAATATCCAAACATTGAACGAGACTGGTAGGTCCTGGGTTCGAATCTCGCCATGCGAGATCGTGGATGCGCGCTGCTGAAGAGTCCCACAATAGGACAAAACGGTCGTCCAGTCCTTCCAGGTTTTTCTTGGTGGTCTAGCTTCAATCGACTCATACAGTAAATTTCTATCAATTTATAAACATTTAAAAATGTTTAACATACTACTTACCTATCATTATTTAAGTAGCAGAAACCGTAGTATTCGATTTTATTCTTAACGTAATTAACGAATGATTATTTTTTACTTTTTGCTTGGATTTTTCGGAAATATGCTTATTTTTTTGTTTCACATTCACTTCATTCGATATATAATCAATTTTTTCACACCGGTTTTTCGTTTCTTCATCATTAGTCTGATAAAGATCAAAACAGGAAGAAAATTCATTTTTTACTTTTCTTTTGTTAAAATGATTTAATTGATTAAATCGTATTAAATTATTTGAATAACCATCTAAACTTTTAGATCGATGATGTATTGAAGATGAACAATTTTTCATTTCAATCATTAATGGTTTATGTAAATTGGTTAGTTGATCTTTGTTTAAATTAATGCAATGTTCACGTTTTATCTTTGGTTGCCATAATGTAAATAGATTACATGAACGATTATTAGGCAATATAGGCTTAAATTCATTATTGTATGAGATAGAATGTCCACAAGTTGATTTGTTATATAATTGATCTTTTAAACATACTTCATTATTGTTTATTGGATCATGATTTCTATACATTTTATTTGTTTTTTTATATGGAGTTGATGGAATTGTCATTGAATGTCTTAATTGATGATAATTATTATCATTATTTACAATTTCATTGGATCGATAATAATTCCCATGATAAAATGATGGTATATATTCGGTAGTTGAATCAATTATTTCCCATTTCCATATTGATTGTTTATTGATTATTGGATTAAAAGTATTTAAATCAATATTATATTGATCATGAATTCTTTGAATACTTTTTATACATGCTTGATATGCTTCTATTTGGACATTTTTTTTATATTTTATATGATGATTATTTAATAAATTATTTGTAAATAATTGTCGAATTGGTTCCGTTTCTTCGATGGTTAAATTATCTATGATCATCTTAAACACAATAATTATAATGAGAATAAAAAAATTAGTCGCGTGCCTAAATTTACATTCAAGATTCATTTCTAATGACACATGACCATTAATATTAACCAATCAAAAAAAAGGAAGAAATATTGCGATGAATTGACCAATCAAAAAAATTGTTAAGGGGGGAGTAAATATATTTCTGTTGAAAATTGAATAGTTTCTTTAATTTTTTTTTCTAAATATTGACTAAAAGATATGAAATTATAAAAATGGGATATATGAATGAAATAAGAGAGATATAAGATACATGTCTGTAAAGTTATAGTAAATGTGTGTTTTAATGTTTAACATATGTGTGATACGAATGGTTTTCAGTAATTTTTTTTCTTTTTATTCAATAGGTGAATGTTACATTTAAAAGTAGATGATTTGTATTGAAAATTCCATTTTAAGATTTGACATAGATGTAGGTTTGTTCTTTGAATTGGATGGTTTGTTCGTGGAGCTGTCATCGTCCTTTTGAACGACATCATCAGAACAAACTTCTACCCGAAGCTCCACGAACAAACCATCCAGTTCAAAGAACAAACATACATCTAAATCACCCACCTGAGCTACAAATCTTCTCCACCATCTCAAGATCTGACTTTTAGTTTATTTACTTTTTTTTCTTTCAAGTTAGGATGTACTACAGTGTCGTGTTCGCGAAAAAAAACATATGTAAGTGATTGAAATGAACTTTCTAGTGAAAATCATATTCTTATTTACAGTACTGACCTACTAAATAAACAGAAATATGCCTTAAAATGCTAGATATTACACTTTGATTGAATATTTTAAATAGGATGGTTATCCTAATATAAAAGTCAAGTTTACTAGTAATGATAGAATCACGGATAAAAAACACTGAACTTTTGTTCTATAGTATTTTGAAAATTCAAACGAAATCGAACGTATGATATGCAAGTCTTATGATGAGAATAAGATTTTTAGATTACTGAATCTGAAATCAATAGTCTATCATCATCAAGATTGAACAATCTCTACAATTCACAACCTTAATAAATGACAGTTTTATGCATATAAAATAGTGAATGATTTTGCAAATATTCCCCTGAATTCTGGTGAAAAAAAGACTGATAAAATTCAGCCATATCAGGAGTAGACTGCTGACTTATTAAGTGGTGGTTCATTAGTAATGTATCTGAAATTAAACCTTAATGTCAAAACCTCTAAACAAGTCACGATTGAGTATAGTGAATGAATTACTAACTTGAAGGGAACATTGTCCTACTGATTATTTGATTTCACCAACTGCCCATTTGAACTAATTTACACAAATTTACTTCCTATGGTTGAAACGAAATCATCAAATCATAGACATATTTTACAGAAATCGGTTAATACTAGTCAAGCGGAATTCAATCTGACAAAAATAGCTTATTTGGAAAACCTGTTCCTGTGCGTACAGATCTCTCAAATGATTCAACTTTCTCTTTACTACACTTAAGTAAGAAACTTTTACTATGGTTAAAGTCATGGATCATCAGTGGTTAATGATTCATTTTGGAAGTCCGTAGTCAACTTGAAAAGTAAATAATTTTTTGTTTGTGCACTGTGACAGCCTATTTTCACGAATTCATTATGTTCTGAAAAACAAGAAAATTTAAGATGCCTAGTTGAGGATCATTTCAATTTCTTTTACTAATGAAAAGGAATAGCCTAACTATCTACTCGAATATAACATTCTGATATCTTAGTAACATTACAGTTTGTAGTATTGCCACCACTCTACATTGTTTCCCAAAAAATTATGAAAGTAACTTTATGTGTTTACAGTAAGACGATCTGAAAATTTTTTGAAATTCTAACTGAATTCTCCCAAATTATAATAGGTCTTCACAATGGTTACAGATAAGCATCTAAGTAAGTCAACAAAAAATAAAACTAATTTACGAATCATATTAGACCGGATATAAATAATTATCTTTTATTTTTAGATGTTTATCATGGCTAACAATATTCTTATGTTCATGGGTGAGAAAATATTGAACAGGAATGGTTGCAGCATTATAGCACCACTGAAGAGAAACTTCTATACAACTCAACTATGTTCTATGTGAAACATCAGATGTTCTTTAAATCAATTCAAGGTGGATCAGTACCTTTTTGATAATACCTCGAAGTGTAGTTACGAACTGACATGCACTTGTAAAAGAAAGTACATAGGAAATACTAAAAGAAGAGCATCTACATGGTTTTCCGAATACATTCTTCGTAAGTTGTGTCCAAAGGGAAGTAAAGTGTCCATAAGTGCGATCATTAAACGTTTAATGAATAATAAATACAAAGTGGATGCATCAAAAGCGTTGGAAATAATTAACAGCTAGCATATACTACTTCTACTCTATTTTTCTAAGGCCATTGCCATCAAGCACTTACGAGATGACCTTTTTATACAAAAAGAAAGTATGGTAAATTTATCATTAGCACAGTAAGCTAGTTACATTATTTTGACGCTTGTTAGTTACATTTTCTCTTCAATATGGTTTAGAACTTAAAGTAGAAAATCACACTGACATTCACTCACAACGTTAGCGATAATTTTATGCTAATTAGGTGTTTTGAGTACCACTCGTTCGTTAACCATTTGTTTTTATCCATTATTTTCTTATGATCACTTACAATTTTACACTCTTTTCCCCTTTTTATAATCTCATTTTCATCATATCATACTAAACAATCTTAATTATTATGTTAAATGTTTCCTATGTCGTTTCGAACTCCGCCTGTAGCTCTTCTAGAGTTACTGCCGGTCCCAAGCCCACACAAAGGAGGAGGGTTGGGCATGGGGTTAGCGACCCCATTCCGTAGAAAAGCTAACTCGCTAAAAAAACGCTAACCAGAAAAAATAATTCAAACCATTTAAACTCTGCCCTGGCACTTGAAGGAATAATGACGTCTCATGATGAAAGCCGAATTTCTTCGGAAGTCACGAGACCGATGCACCTTCTAACAACCACAGCAACACTCTTTATAGGTACATGGAACGTCCGGACAATGTGGGAAACAGGAAAGACCAGCCAAATAGCAATGGAAATGAGGAGATACAACTTGGCAGTACTCGGAATCAGCGAAACCCATTGGACACAAACTGGACAACAAAGGATAGGTACAGGAGAGATGTTGCTGTACTCCGGTCACGAAGGGGAAAATGCTCCACACACTCAGGGAGTTGCTCTAATACTGTCCAAAGAAGCACGAAATGCACTTGTGGGATGGGAATCTCATGGACCCAGGATAATCAAAGCATCATTCAGAACAAAGAAGCAAGGGATCAAAATGAACATTATCCAATGTTATGCACCCACCAATGATAGCAACGACGATGATAAAGATCAGTTCTATGAAAGGCTTCAATCAATTATAGAGAAGTGCTCACGAAAGGACCTGACCATCCTGATGGGAGATCTAAATGCTAAAGTTGGAGTGGACAACACAGGATATGAAGATGTAATTGGACGACATAGATTAGGAGAGAGAAATGAAAATGGTGAGAGACTTGCAAACCTATGTGCATTCAACAAATTGGTTATAGGCCGCACAATATTCCCACACAAACGTATACACAAAGCTACATGGATCTCACCGGACCACAACACAGAGAACCAGATTGATCACATCTGTATCAACAAAAAATTCCGAAGATCAATGGAAGATGTGAGAGCCCAGAGAGGAGCTGACATAGCTTCAGATTACCACCTGGTTGTGGCCAAGATGAGACTGAAGCTAAAGAAAGACTGGACAACTGGACAAACAGCACTACAAAAGTTCAATACAGCCTTCCTTCGAGATACTGACAAGCTCCATGAATTCAAGATAACTCTCAACAACAGGTTCCAAGCTCTACAGGATCTACTGAAAGAACAAGAAACTACTTTGGAGGACAACTGGAAAGGGATAAAAGAGGCACTAACTTCAACGTGTCAGGAGGTTCTTGGTCTTAAGAAGCATCATCACAAGGAATGCATCTCTATGGGAACCCTGGACAAAATTCAAGAAAGGAAGAACAAAAAACTAGCAATTAACAACAGCCGAACACGAGCAGAGAAAGTCAAAGCACAAGCAGACTACGCAGAAGCAAACAGAGAAGTGAGGAAAAGCATTAAAGCCGACAAGCAGAAATATATGGGAGAACTAGCAACGGCGGCGGAAAAAGCTGCAAGAGAAGGCAATATGAAACAACTATATGATACAACGAAGAAATTGGCAGGGAGATATAGCAAACCAGAGAGACCAGTCAAGGACAAAGTAGGAAAGACAATAACAGAGATTCAAGAACAGAGGAAAAGATGGGCAGAATACTTCGAGGAACTGCTGAATAGACCAGCCCCATTGAATCCACCGAACACCGAAGCAGCCCACACTGACCTTCCAATAGATGTCACTCCACCAACGTTCGAAGAAGTCAAGATGGTCATCAGACAAATCAAAAGTGGGAAGGCGGCAGGACCTGACAATATACCAGCAGAAGCACTGAAGTCAGACATTGAAATAACTGCAAACATGCTTCACCTTCTATTCAAAAAGATTTGGGAAGAGGAACAAGTGCCAACGGACTGGAAAGAAGGATATCTCATCAAGATACCAAAGAAAGGAGATCTGAGCCAATGTGAGAACTACAGAGGTATCAGCTTGTTATCAGTACCAGGAAAAGTTTTCAACAGAGTGCTGCTGAATCGGATGAAAGACGCAGTAGACGCCGAACTTAGGGATCATCAGGCTGGATTCCATAAGGATCGGTTGTGCACAGACCAGATTGCGACACTACGGATCATCGTTGAACAATCAGTTGAGTGGAACTCATCACTATACATCAACTTCATTGACTACGAGAAGGCGTTTGACAGCGTGGACAGGAGAACATTATGGAAACTTCTTCGACACTATGGAGTTCCTGAAAAGATTGTCAACATTATCCAAAACTCATACGATGGATTACAGTGCAAAGTGGTGCATGGAGG